TTTTTTTTTAAAGCAAAAGTTACTTCCCGGGAGAAACTTCAGCTATTAACTTTACCTTTGATTTGGAATGTAGAATATATACATTCCACTTTCCCTGTTACATTTGATGCTGGGAGACCTGTTGTTGGCTGTCCAGCCTATTTCCCTTCATCCTTCATAACAATATCCTATTTACTTGGGGAAACCAGCATTCATTCCCACCATTCTCAGCTCCGCAGTTTCTATGTGGCCAACTCCACAGCTATCTCCTAGTTAGAACCTGATTTCCCTCCCCGTAGACACAGTGATTGGCTCAAAGACAGGCACAAGAGTTAAGCCAGTCCAATCCGAGGTCCACAAGAATTCTGAGACACAGACCCCTTTCTCTTCTCTTTGATATTAATGAGGACACATTCCTCCTTCTCCTAGCCCCAGAGGCTATTGGTCAGCATCTTACAATAATGAGAGGCAACCTTAGGATGAAGAGAGTAGAGATGGGAAGACACAGATGCCGTTGAGTTTCTGGATCAAATCCTGCCTAAAGTTCATTTTCCATTTTTCTCTTTCATAAGCCAATAAGTTCTTTCTTCTGTCTAAGCCAGTTTGGGGAATATTTTTTAATGCTTAAAGCTAAAAGATACATGACCCAGTTGATGCTAGTTGTGAAGAAACACATCGCTCCTCTATGTAACTTCTTTCTTTTCCATAGGTCCCAAGCATCCTGTATCCGCCCCCCGCCTGACCTTTTTTTTTTTTTTTGAGAGGAGTCTCACTCTATCCCCCAGGCTGGAATGCAGTGGTGCTATCTCAGCTCACTGCAGCCTCTGCCTCCCACGTTCAAGAGATTGTTCTGCCTCAGGCTCCCGAGTAGCTGGGATTACAGGCGCCTGCCACCATACCCGGCTAATTTTTGTATTTTTTAGCAGAGATGGGGTTTCACCATTTTGACCAGGCTGGTCTCAAACTCCTGACCTCAAGTGATCAACCCACCTCTGTCTCTCAACGTGCTGGAAGTACAGGCGTTGACCACTGCACCCAGCCCTGCATCTCTTTCTTCTTCTTCTTTTTATTAATTTTTTTTTTGAGGCGGAGTCTCGCTCTGTAGCCAGGCTGGAGTGCAGTGGCGCGATCTCAGTTCACTGCAACCTCCGCCTCCAGGACTCAGCCTCCCAAGTAGCTGGGACCACAGGCACGCGCCACCATGCCCAGGTAATTTTTGTATTGTTAGTAGAAATGGGGTTTTACCATGTTGACCAGGCTGGTCTCGAACTCCGCACCTCGTGGTCTGCTCGTCTTGGCCTCACAAAGTGCTGGGATTACAGGCGTGAGCCACCGCTCCCGGCCCCTGCATCCCTTTCTTTTCAACGTTGTCGTCTCCCTCTTTATCCTTGGGAGCTTTCTTGTTTCTAGGAATGACAAAAAAATGGGCACAACCCCCGCCCGTTTTCTCATTTTCTTTCCTAGAAGGCAAGCACTTAGGAGCTTTCTGACTTCAGCAATTTGTTTCTTACCACTGTAAGGAAACATCCAGGGAAAAATAACAAACACAGGTGTTTGCACGAGTTGCATAAATCATTTGCTCTTAGGGTCTTTGTGGTCTATTATGAATCTAGGTGCAGTAAGAAAGAATTAGATCTTGGGTGGCTCTAGGGTATCTTTCTCATATGATATTGGAAGGGCTTACTCCAGGAAAATTCACGCCGGCACATTTGCTAGTCCTGGGAGCATTCTGAGTTACAACCTAAATTTGCTTCCTCTTTTTTTTTTCCTTTTTTGAGATGGAGTCTCATTGTGTTGTCCAAGCTGGAGTATAGTGGCATGATCTCAGCTCACCTCAGCCTCTGCCTCCCAGGTTCAAGTGATCCTCCTGCCTCAGCCTCCCGAGTAGCTGAGACTACAGACGTGCGCCACCATGCCCAGCTAATTTTTTCTAGTAGCTCTACATCTCTAGTAGAGATGGGGTTTTACTATGTTGGCCAGTCTGGTCTCGAACTTCTGACCTAGTAATCCACCCACCTTGGCCTCCCAAAGTACTGGGATTACAGGCATAAACCACCGCGCCCAGCCAGCTTCCTCATTTTTATGGCACGTTTGGATCCCTAGGTCTTCTCAGAGAAGAAAAATATTTCCCAGTTGGTGTCCAGAAATTATTTCCTTGGGTTTCAGGCCACTCTGCACCTGCTTGGTAGATACCTGTCTTTCCAGGAGAGCTCTCTCAATCCAGTCCTAGAAAATCTTGCCCTAGTATGAAAGCCGCCTAGTATTTACTCCTTGGCATTAAATCTCCTTTCTTCTTCATGGTAAGAGTACCCCAATTTCCTTTGGGGCGCCACCTCACACCTGCTGTGAGTCATGTGGTTTAGGTGGGAGTGTCCTTAGTTCCACATCAGCCCACTTGATGCCACTTGTAAAGACACCACCGCAGATTTCCAGCTTTCTTTCTTTTGATGGCTTCCTTCTTACTTACTTACAAATCCTTCTTCCTCTGTAATGCATGGGTTTTCTGACCATTGAGCTCACACAGCTTCTTCTCATTGCTCCTTAACATACTTTCCTTCTTTTCCACGGGTGGGCTCTGATTAACTTAAGCTGATCAACAAAGCCCTTGCATCTGACGACAGTGATTGCTTCAGGATGGGCACATGATTCCATTTAGGCCAAAGAGAACTGAGGGAGTATTTGCTAAAGCTCATCTAGATTTCAGCGTGGCCAGTGTAATCTTCTACAACTCCCTGGATGTCTCCTTGGCTTCAGCCCCTGGAAGTCCTCTCTTCTTTTCTTGTCCAGAGCTCTCTGTTCAATGCCGTGTGCCTCCAGTGCATTCTCAAGACAGGTATTAATGCAGATTTTATTCTAATTGAAGTTTGGTTCCTTTGTTTTTGGTTCTGATCCAGAAATAGCACATAGGTTTTATTTTGTGGGTCAACTCTGAACAATAGGTAGTAGATTTGGGAGGCTGAGGCTGGAGGATCGCTTGAGCCCAGAGAGTCAAAGCTGCAGTGAGCATGATCATGCCACTGCATTCTATCCTGGGAGATAGAGTGAGACCCTGTCTCACAACAACGACAGCAACAAAACCAAATAGGTTGTAGGAGACAGGTAGTGGGGATCTATGCTAAGGGATTCTGAGGTTGCCTCTGGTCTCAGCAAGAAAGTATGCAGTGATCGCTTAGTAATGTCTGCCATGGCATGGGATGAAGAATGTGCTTCATGTTTTTGATATCATTGTTCTAAGTCAAAGTCTGAGCCTAGTACCTTTGACAGTCATATGGCCTCCCAATGTCTGCCTGCAGCTCCTGGCTGAATGTGTCTTTTTCTGGTTCATGACTCAAGTGTGTGTACCCCATAAGCTTCTACTCCTTGTCTAAGGAATACACAGTCCTGTTGCAGACCTGAAGTGACTGACATACCCTAAGACAAATGACTATCTTGGTGCCCTTCCCGGCTTATGTTACTTGCTCCCCCCATCTGCTTAAGTCTCTGGTGGCTCTTTCCATAACAATAGGGCTCCTCTCAATCCTCCAGCTAAAAAGTCCATTTTAGAATTATAGAATCACAATATAATAGTAGCTTAAAAATGAGAAGACACGATTTCCACCAAGAGAACTGGTGGGCTGTTGATCACACACCAGCTCTCATCCATGACTCATAAAGTTTCATCCTTTTTATAGACATGGCTGAGCCAGACTTTATTCATGATTCTTTCCTTGAAACCACAGTGAAGTCTTTAACACTCTAGACATTCTGTTTCCTGAATGAAATCAAGTTGGATTGGTGTTTGAATTCTACAAGCATCTTAGTGTATTTATCCTGATTTTGATGGGTGAGTTTTCTGTTCTATGATTATAAACCATTGGTTATATGGGTATCCAGTGTGAGGTGTAATCAGTGCCAATTTCAGATATATCTCAATTTGGAGAGAGATCTGTGTGAGATCCCACTCACCTTTGTCCCACATTCTTACCAGTGATTGCAATAGTGCTATGGGCTCAGGTTAGTATTTGTAGAGGGCTTTCTAGTTTGTGAGCCCCTTCCCTCATGGTCTGGAAGTGAAAAGGAGGTGAGACTCTGAGGATATGATTAAACTAAGGATCTCGAGATGGGGAGATTAATCTGGATGGGTCTTCCACTCCTGTGGAGTCTCCTGTGAGGACTGGAAGACCCGTTCAGGTTAATCTCCCCATCTCGATATCCTTAGTTTAATCATATCCTCAGAGTCTCTTTGACCATGTAAAGTAACAGGTTCCAGGGACTGAGACACAGACATCTTTTGGGGGCCATTACTCAGATTATCACAGACCCATATTTATAGGGGGACCTGCTGCTGCAGAAAAGAATCTGCTCAAAGGAACAAGGTTAACCTTATGGCATTTCCTTGTCCCATTTTGTAATTGTAGGAAACCGGATAAAACTGTACTATCCACAAAATTAACTATGGCAGACCTTTTGTGTTTTTGTCACCCAGGAACCATTTTCCCCAGATTGTCTGGGTTCATCCCCTGGTTCTGCTACTTACAAGGTGGTGTGACCTTGGGATTACTTTCTCTGTGTCTCAGTCTCATGAAATGTAAAATTAAGTAATATTTGTACCTCCAGCACACAGTTATATAAGGATTAACTGAGTTAGTATATATAGTGTTTTGAACACTGTTTGGTATATGTTTATATATACACTGTTGTTGAAATGGGAGAGTTCCCTGATCCCCCTTCCCCACCCACTTGCCGGATATACAACAAGGGTGTGGCTCGAATGTTTGGCCACCACATGCTCAATCCCCTGACAGGACAGGGAGTTCACAGATGGGCAGATGCAGAGCTGGGGTGAGCAATTTTGGGCTCTGGCCCCATGGTGGCATCTAGGGATGTGTTACAATTAATGCTTTTTTAGCAGCTGCCATCTGTGGACAGCTAAGTGTCTCCACTAGCTCAGTGGAGAATCAGGGTGACAGTCTTTTACACCCTGCTCTTCTGGTATCCAGGTCCTTGTCTGGAATCCAGGAAAAATCAGGTCACACACAGACTTGAAGGACAGTGAATGTGGGGGTTTTATTGAGTGGTGGAGGTGGCTGTCAGCAGAATGGATGGGGAGCTGGAAAGGGGATGGAGTGGGAAGATGATCTTCCCCTGGAGTTTGCTATTGTGTGGCTGATCTACTCTCCAACTGTCCCCAGCCAAACTCCTCTTGATGTTCAGATGCTCCTTCTCTTCCCTCCTTTTCTGCCGCACCACTCTGCTGCTTTTCTGTTCATCTTGTCTGCTCGTCTGCTGTGGAACCTGGGGTTTGGGGTTTGCATGGGTACAAAATAGGGGGTGTAGCAGGCCAAAAGGTGACATTTGGACAAGAAAACAGGAGTGCCTATTCCCGTGAGTTTCCAGGCATGAGAATGAGGCCCTTGCCAGGGAACCACCCTCCTCTACCCAGTATTTCCTTGCTTCCTCTCCATATGATTATTATTGTTATCCCATGTTTCCTCTGAGGAAACCACTCTTCTCTTATTCAGTCTGTGTTTCAGATAGAGCTGACTCCACCTTTACCTCTGTTTGCAGTGTGACATCTCACCCAAGTCGTCTTGAGTCAGGGATTTGCAGGCTCACCCTCTAAAGAAAGAGAATTTCTTGGCCAGAGATTGGAGAGCAGACATTGAACTTACTCCTGATTAGCTCCTCCTACTTAGTAAAGGAAAGCTCTTCATTTTATAATCATAAGTGATCCTTCTTATAAAAGGCAATAATCTCATAACATAAACGTTGAAAATTACTTTGTGAAAGTTGTTCTGTTCTGGCCTAATGTGGCAGGGGCAGGGTGGGTATTCTGATCCGGTTTTCCTTGCCCTGCAAGTCCCACTTCTCAGGACTCCAGCTTCCAGAATTCTGTTGAATCTCTAGTCTGCTGTTATCTTCCTCTCATTCTTTTTTTCTGTGAGGATTTATACCTACTTTATACCAATTTTGTTATTTTACAGTCATGTTATTGAGATTTCAGAAGAGAGAAGAAATAAAGCCTGTGTTCAACTCACTTTATTTAATGTTAAAATCTTTCAGAAATCAAAGAAGTTTTGCTGGGAAGTGGACAGGCAGCACTGCCCTGGGCAGCCTATCTTGGACACATCCCTGAACTACACCAATTATGGTTGAAATTAAATCCGCAAATTTCAGTGACTATTTTTGAGCAAATGTGAGCACTCAGAAACCTAATGAGATTCAGGATGAAATGTCTTTATTCTAAAAGGTATAATACATTTCATCCTGCAAATTAATCTCTATGCTTTATTCCATAAGAAGAATAGTCCTGGCTTTGTAGCCTTTAGCCTCACAGATTAAACCAGGGCTTCTACCTGCCCTGGGGGCCACACACCGGGAAGCTTGGTCTGCTTCTGGGATCTGTCCCAGTTGGAAACCAGCTCTTTGTCAGGATCGGTGGCGTGTTCCGGGGGGCTGCTGGGTGGTTTTTTTTTGTTGTTGTTTTTTTACCGTGGTCTTTCTTTGCTGTCTGTGGTGTAGGAGACTGTGGAGTGACAGCTGAAGTCATCTGTCCCTGGCCATTATCTCTCCTCTTATCAGCCACCACCATGACTACATAACAATAACAAGGAGAAATGAGGATAGAATTCAGTCATCTGAAAAGGCACCTAAGAGGTGCCAGTTGCTGACATGTTTACCTCGAAATAATACATCTTGACATCTTAAGGATCAGGACAAGCTGCCCTTTCAGATAATTTTCTATAAATTTCCCCAGACATAGCCCCCAAGCACCTCTTACTTCACCTCTCCACACCCAAACAACTCACATAATAAACGATGATGTCAGGGAAGATCCAGGTTTTGTGGAAACTAAGGCTTAGACAATTTGTAGTGACGTGAGCTCCTTCCCTAGCAAAAAGAATGCAAAGTTACAAATACAAAATTAAGTAGGAAATTGAATATTTTACTTAAAATGGGAAAAGAAATGATAGCATGTTGCAAAGTTTTAAAAGCTGACAAATAGTACAAAAATTCAGAAAAATAATATTTTATTTGACTACTCGACACATATCTTTATACTTTTCTGTTTTTGTAATTGCATACCTCCATGTACTTCTTTTCATGACAATGATTTTGTAACATCATGTTCTACAGAAAGAGAATTCAGTCTTCCCTATAGCATGGTTGAATACTTTTCCTTAAAAGTATTTAGATATTAGAAACAGTTTTCAGCCTGAGAACTGGTTATTGGTAAGTCATGTAAATTTTTAAAATTGTTGCCAAATTTGGGAAACTCTACAGAAATTTCTTTCATATATGAGCTGTAAGATGTCATGTACATTTCAAGTTTCATCGCACAGGGACTGATCTTAAGTATTCTGAATTGATGACCCTCATTAACCAGTTGGTCATTGGTAACCCCACTGAATTGGTAGATAATGATGTTGGTATTCCATGTTAGATAAAAAATAAATAGATAATCAAATAATATAAAAGCCTATTCTTTGTTTGAAAGTCTTTTCTCCTCTAAATGAGTTAGTTACTATAGTTTGGGTATAATTTGAAAAAAGATATTTTGGCTTACAAAATCAGTGGTTCTCATCTTGGGGCATGTCTGTCTACTACCCATCCCCCACCACTGCACACAAATTTACTCAAAGGACGTTTAGCAATGTCTGGAGCTATTTTTGGTTGTTACAACTTGGGGAGGGGCACGCTACCAGCATTTAGTGGATAATGGCTAGAGATGAAGGGTAAACATGATGAAACACTGGACAACTGCCCACAGCAAACAGTTCCCCACAGGAAATGTCAGGAGTACCTAGGTTGAGAAGGTGCTCTAGCCTTCAGCTGGGAATCTCAGGCTTGCCTCCTGACCCCTTCAGTTGTATAGCTTTTCCATTGTGTGTAACTAGTTCCCCGATTAATTTCCCTTTGTTAAGATACTTAAACTGGCTTTTGTTTTCATATTAGACTGACCAATGCCTCCCCAACATATCAGCTTATTTTCTTTTTTACTCGCCAAAACCATTTAGTGACACTTTCTTTGTCACCTCCCTGTGGATTCTGGAAATTTTCACCACTTACCTCCATCCTGTTGCTTTCCGTTCAGAATTTTACAGTTTTCATAGAGTACATTTTAATTCATAGACTATTTTATTTTATAATGAGGCTCCTCCAGAGTTATGAAATGAGCGGAAGAAGATGCATAACTTTCTTTTACTAAATAAAAATAGAGCACTCCAACTTAACATAATCCAATTTCCACCCTTCAGAATGCATTATTATTGTAAAAATGCATTTGGTTAATGTCATTATACATGTAAAATGTAGATTAATTTAAACCCAATTAAAATGAGATCTTTTGGGGTTCTTCTTAATTCTCTGTTAGGCAAAATTGCACATAGTGCTATCTGGGTTTTTTTGGATTTTTTTCAGCATAAAAATAATTTTTTGGCAAAGAAAGAAAATAATTAAATTTTCAGAGTTCCAAAGGGATAAAGGAAAGAAAATATATTTTGGCTTCTATCATGTTGTGAGGCCTGTTAGCTTCCTAGGGCTGCCAAAACAAAACCTGAGTGGCTTAAAAAACAGAATTCATTGTCTCAGTTCTGGAGGCCACAAGTCCAAAATTAAGGCACAGACAGGGCTGTGTTCCCGCTGAAGGCTCGAGACGGGGAACTATTCCATGCCTCTGTCCTGGCGTCTGGCAGCTTCAGGCGCTCTTTAGCTTGTGGATGCATCGCTTCAATTCCCATCTTCACAACCCCAGGTCTTCACATCATCTTCCCTCTGGCCATATCTGCCTCCATGTCTAAATTTTCCCTTTTTATAAGAACGCCAGCCCACTCTACTGACGTCGTTTTAACTTGATTACATCTGTAGACACCCTATTTCCAGATAAGATCACACTTTGAGGTACTGAGCTTAGGACTTCAATATTTTGGGGAGTGGGAGAGACACAGTTCAACCCACAATAGGGGTATTAATATGTTTTTAGCCATTAAGATGCCTTTTTGGCTGATGGGAACTTGTGTGTTTATACGCAAGTTCAAAAGATATATTTTAACTTTGCTTTTCCTTTATAATGGTTTAGAATGTCTATTTCTTTTCTATCAAGACAGAGTCTCGCTTTGTCACCCAGACTGGAGTGCAGTGGTACGATCTCGGCTCATTGCAGTCTCCGCCTCCTGGGTTCAAGTGATTCTCCTGCTTCAGCCTCCTGAGTAGCTGGGCTCCCGACTAATTTTTGTATTTTTAGTAGAGACAGTGTTTCACCATTTGGTCAGGCTGGTCTCAAACTTCTGACCTTGTGATCCACCTGCCTCGGCCTCCCAAAGTGCTGGGATTACAGGTGTGAGCCACCGCACCTGGCCTAGAATGTTTATTTCAAAGAGTGATCTTTTGGGAATTTATTCAACAAATACCTATTTAGCATCTATTTTGGGTTAGGTATTGTACTGGGCATTAAAGACAAGCAAAACACAGTCTACACTGTAAAGGTGCTCATAGTCTGATGGGTGGCGTGAATACGAAAATGATTAGCATGCAACCTAAGTACTACTATACCATGTCAGAGATCCATGGAGGAGGTTTGTGAGTCCCTAGAGAATGCCTCAAACAACACTGCCTGGAGGTAGAATCAGGAAAGTTTTCACCTAAGGAGTTGCAGCTCAGCTGGGTCAGAGGTGCACATCCACCAGGACAAGAAAAGGGCCAAGCAGGCTGAGATGCAGTGTGAACACAGACACAGAGAGCATGGTGCCAAGTGAGGCAGGAGGAATCTGGTCACTGCTCACGGGAAGTGCAGCTGGCAGAGTAGGGCGTGGAATGAGAGCAGATGGAGGCCAAAAATTGTTGATAAAGCTGTTAAGAAGGGTGATGAGCCACTGAATTTTTAAAAATTTTTAAGAGGTAGGGTCTCGCTGTGTTGCCTAGGCTGGTCTTGAACTCCTGGGATCCAGCAATCCTCCTGCCTGAGTGTCCCGAGTAGTGGGGACTCCAGGTTCAAGCCACTGTACCAGGCTTGAAGCTTTTAATCAAGGGAGTAACATGAGATTTGCTTTAGAAGGATCAGTCTGGGGCACCACTGTAAAGGGTAGATTTTTTTTCTTCTGAATTGAAAGTTCATTTCCTTGTCTTCTTTCACCGATCTCTCAACATCGCACACCAGAGCTAAATGCTTCCTCTTTTTTTTTGAAATATTTTCCTCTCTTGGTCTCTATCACTCCAGCTCTCCTGGTTTCCCTCCTAGATCACAGCTTCTTTTCTTTTTCTGGCTTTTCTATGGGCCGCAAGACTCAGGAGAGCCTCAAGGCTGGCACGACCTCCCTTCTCATCTAATCTCTGAGATCTCATCTATGCCTATGCCTTCAAATTTGTACCCCAGCCCCGGCCTCTCCCTTGAGACCCAAACTTGCCCATCTAATGTCTTAATCCCTACAATTGCCTAAGATGTTATAGACATCTCAGACTCAGCATCTTAAATCTGTTTCATCCCAAATCTTCCCCATCTCAATAAATGGCCCCATATGCTCCCAGGTAGTTGTTTATACCCAGTGTCAAGATTAATCTTTTGGGTTCAGGCAATTCTCCTGCCTCAGCTTCCTGAGTAGCTGGGATTACAGGCACGCACCACCATGCCCAGCTAATTTTTTGTATTTTTAGTAGAGACGGGGTTTCACCATGTTGACCAGGATGGTCTCGATCTCTTGACCTCGTGATCCACCCGCCTCGGCCTCCCAAAGTGCTGGGATTACAGGCTTGAGCCACTGCGCCCGGCCCAAGATTAATCTTTAATTCCTCCCTTTCACTCCTTTCCCATGTACAAATCCGTCTCTGAGTCTTCCTGCTCCTACAACAAAAATACTTCTTTGTTTTTGTTTTTTGAGACAAAGTCTCACTCTGTTGCCCAGGCTGGAGTGCAATGGGGAGATCTCGGCTCACTACAACCTCCACCTCCTGGGTTCAAGCGATTCTCCTGCCTCAGCCTCCTGAGTAGCTGGGATTACAAGTGCCCACCATCACATCTAACTAATTTTAATATTTTGGTAGAGATGGGATTTCACCATGTTGGCCAGGCTGGTCTTGAACTCCTGACCTCAAGTGATCAGCCTGCTTCAGCCTCCCAAAGTGCTGGGACTACACGTGGGAGCCACCATACCTGGCCCACCAAATACATCTTTAATCCATTCATTTCTCCCCATCTCCAATAACATCACCTTAGGCTGGACGCCAGTTGTCTATTCTCTAGACAATTGCAATGGTCTCCTAACTGGTCCCCACATATGCCCTTATCTATCTATTTTTCTATCCAATAACCTTAATTATTTTATTAGAATTTTAACCAGATATATAATTCAATGTAAAACCCAAACTGCTTCTTTTTTTTTCTTTACTTTTTTTGAGATAGGGTCTCACTCTGTCACCCAGGCTGGAGTGCAGTGATGCAATCACAGCAGTGTCTAAGCTCACAGCATAATAATAATATTTCAGAGAAATCATTTTTATCTCTAGCTTTTGGAATGAGCTGCCTGGGTACATGGCAGTTGACTAAAATTGGAGGAGACATAGTTAATCTTAGAGGCTTATTCAACCTCATGACATACGCCGAGTCCTTTCACAAAAATTAGGTTTCAGTGGTTCTGGATTGAAACTGGGCAGGGCTAATGTGTTCTGGCTGCTCTTTAAAGGTATGTATGATGTCTGAGGCCCTGTCATTTAATTTGATTCTATTATGTCTTTAAACATCTTGTCAGATTATAACCTGATTTATCACTCACTCAAGAGGCTAAAAATAGGAGGTGATACAAGAGGTTAACATCACTGAGAAATGAGCGTTTTCCCAAAGGAAGAGACATAGATCAGAGGAAGCGTGTCACTCATTCCTACCCACGGCTGGGCATGCCTGGTGCTTGGCAATTGTTTCAGAATGAAATGACTCTTGAGCTGAAAGTGTCGTCATTTGGGAGAGGCAGTTTGAGAGGGTTTCAGAAGATGTGATGACTGGAAATCTTCCTCCAGCCAGCCCCTGCTCAGCAGTCCCCGTGAGCCTGAAGTGGACCCTGATTGCTGGCTGCTCTCGGCTGGTTTCCAGGACAGCCGTTTACACAGTGGAAGTAACTGTGGGAAAGGAAGAAATTTGAAATTTCTTTCTATTTTTTGGGAAAAACAACTGATCTTGTGTCATATTCTACCTTCCCTCTTGGTAAAATAGAAATTGTTTATGTTTCTCACTTGGAGGCTGCTAAGCCCTTAGAGAGCCTCAGCAGAGGGGCAGTGTGAAAATAAAGGCCACAGGCCGGGCGCGGTGGCTCACACCTGTAATCCTAGCACTTTGGGAGGCTGGGGCAGGCAGATTGCTTGAGCTCAGGAGTTCGAGACCAGCCTGGGTAACATGATAAAACCCCGTCTCTACTAAAATACAAAAAATTAGCTTGGTGTGACAGTGTGCACCTGTAGTTCCAGCCTCTCGGGAGGCTGAAGCAGGAGAATCACTTGAACCCGGGAGGCAGACGTTGCCGTCAGCTGAGATCACACAATGCACTCCAGCCTGGGGGACCGAGCAAGACTCCGTCTCCAAAAAAAAAAAAAAGAAAAGAAAGGCTACAAGTTCTTACAGTGCTGGCTACAAAGAAGGCACTGACCTCTG